TCGGCGCCGGGGCGAGGCCCGCCGCTCCCGCGAGCGCCCGGCGCGCCCTCCCGCCCCGCCATAGCGCAGGCTGCGGCCACCGCGCCAGCGCCCGCCGCCCGCGCGCGGCTCCCCGCTCCGCGCCCGGCCCCTTCCCTCGCGCCCTCCCGCGGCCCTCCGCGGATCCGCGCCCGAGCGGCCCCAGCCCCCAGCTGTCCGCGCCACCCCGCGCGCCGGGCCGGGTCGCGACTCACGCGGCGCGGCGCGGAGCTGGCGGAGCCGGCGCGCGGCTCGGTCTGCTCGGGTCACTGCTGCGGGCCCCTCCCGACTGGCTCCTTTCGCTCCTCTCTCCCCTTCGCCGCCCACCCGCCGGCCCGCTCCCCCTCTCCCTCCTCCCGCCGCCACCCGGGCGGGCCGGGTCCCAGCCGCGCGGCGGACAGAAAGCCGCGGCGACACGACGCCGGAGACGTGGGCGGGCCGGGCGCGGAGCATTTTAACATTTGTACTACTACTCTGTGCCCAGCACTCTTCTAAGTGCTTTACAAGTACTATATTAATTTATTTAATTCTCACAACAAAGTTAGCCACCTGCAGCTGAATAAAACAAACCCCAGAGATAAAAGGAGTAAGATTCCACTCAGGTTTCAGTGGAGAAATTACAAATGCATCACACACATACAATCCTCACACTCCTTATAGGCAGAAACAAAGTCCTATAACAAAAATGCTATTAATATCTCTTTTTCGACAATGGGGAAACTGAGCACAAAAAGGTTCAGGTAGTTGCCAAAGATCACACAGAAGACCAGAATCCCACCTATAAGAAGTCTGGCTCTGGCTCCAGAACCTTTACTTTTAGTCATCATGCTGAGACTGGGTCCCATCTTTCACACTGCCAGGTAAAATACAGGACACGCAGATTGTAATTTCAGATAAACAACAATTAATTTGTTAGCATAAGTGTGTTCCTTGAAATATTTTGGTCATGCCAATAAATTATTCATTGTTTACTTGAAATTCTGATTTAACTGTGCTTCCTGTATTTTTATTCACTTAATCTAGCACTGCTAATTTATTTACAAGACACTTTCTCTGCCACATGCCATCACACATATTACCTCATTTAATTGTCCCAGGAAACCTATCCTCAGATGCCCCAGCATGTCCCCCTACCTCACCTTCTCCCAATATTCCCATTGAGAGAGCTAAAGTGACTAGCTAAGGTTACAGAACATAACAAGTGGCAGAGCTGGGGATTGAAGCCACATTCTCCATTTCTAACACTGGTGCATGTTTTCCACTTTAACAGGAAAGAAAAATGAGGAGCAGTGATTACCACCACAGAAATGTCCCTTCATGGTGTCTCCTCAGGCCTAGCATGCAGGTCCCTCCTTCAGGGATGGAGGAAAACCAGTGAGGGCCTTCCAGGATTGGGAAAGTGGCAGAGCAGTGGAGATAGCTCTCTAGCTTCCGTGCCCAACCCCCACCTGAACCCCAGGGAGGCAGGAAAGAGACTGTGCCCAGACCTGAGGGAGCTGAATGTGTGGTTTGAGCAACTACTGAGGAGGGAGGGCTGAGGCTCCCTGGGACTGTTCACCTGCTGCTCTGTGCGCTGGCAGCCTCAGGCCCAGCTGCTGGGGTTGCTTCACCTGCAGCTAAAACAGCCAGAGAGCCCAGGCTGCCAAAAGGCAACAGAAACCTGGGCCCAGGGAGCCTCCCCCTCTCCCAGTTGTCTGTTGAAAGCCCGATGCTTCCCTCTGCCAGTAGCTCACTTTGCATTTTTCTCTTTTGACTCTGCTAATCTGCTCCCACCCCCCAAATACCCGTGCCCTTCCTTCCCTGAAGATATGAACGGTCCCCTCGCCCTCCCCACCCAGGCTGCTGACTCTAATAGGGCAGCAGTCAAAGGAGTTTCTGGGCTGGGACCCTCTCTGGGGTGCAGGCTGGGGTGCCCTGCTGGTATGTGCCCCAACAGGTTTTTCTCTATCAGCCTTGAAGTCAGCCCGGAGCCTGTTTGACCTGCCCCCCAGGGAACTGGAGGCAGAGGCAGAGCCAGGTCAGAAGCTGGACTTAGAGACTAGGCTTCTGTGGTCCACCTGGCCCCTCAGGGAAAGCCATGCACAAAGCCTCCTGTGTCTGGGGTTGAGCTGCTGAGAGGCAGCGAGGAGTTCACTCAGAGCAGGTTGAGGCCCAGTTCCTGGGAGAAGAGATGCTAGGCAGGGAGGTGTTTATGCGGGACCTAGTACAGCCTGGTCTTCTCCCACGTCTGGGAGTGGCCAGAGTCAGAGACAACAGCTGGGTTGGTCTGCAAGAGAGGTCATCTGACCGGCTGCTCAGCCTGGGCTGTACACACCCCCCTGTCTGCCAGGCCACACAGGAGCCAGTGCCCACAGGGGCAAGGTACCAGGCCACAAAGACGACAGCCACCTCAGCTCTAGCACCTCTGGGTAAGCACTGACCATGGCCCCTCATGCTGGGGAGACCTTGTTCATTGCTTGGGGGAGGGAGGAATGAGTTTTCTTTTTCCAACATGAAAATGCCTCCTTTCTTGTCCAGGCACCCATGTACCTGCAAGAACACTTACTCAGATCAGCTCAGAGACTGCACCTGCTGACCTAAAGATTCTGGCCTGAGACTCCAAGAGTGAAAGGCAGACAAGCAGGTAGGCAGCTTTGTAGGTGGGAATTGGGGCTTGCGTGTAGGCTGGGGCTGCAGGTGGAGGAAGATGCTATTTGGAGTTGTCTCCCACTCCACTACTTACTCCTAGCACCTAACTTCAGCTCCCTACAGTGCCCCAGGAGCCCCCAGCAGGGCCATGGAAGGAAGGGACATGGACCTCGGAAGGGGAGCATCCACCTCAGACCAAGGATTGAGGAGCCTTAGCACCTTGGAGTTGGGGAGGGTTTGGTTGGTGCTTGTTCTGGGAGCATCCCTGATCAATCTTGCTTCCTAAAGGAGGGGGCAAAAGGCGGAGAAGGTGGGAGCTTTCCTCTGACCCCTCCACTTCAGCTCCAGTTCTGGCTCCTAAACCTGCTAAGCAAGTTAATCTTTTTCTCCTCAGCAAGGGAAGGGAATGGGCAAGGGGAGCCCAGACTCCGGGATCTGGGGGTCGTAAAGAGGCCCAGAAGGGCTGGGAAATTCAGCTCAGCGCGGGCTCCTGTGTGCGTCCCCAGGGCAGCCAGTGGCGCCATGTCTGTGAGCAGCGGGAAGACAGCACTATCCCTGATCCAGGAGATCCTCAGCCACCTGGGCCTTGCCAACAAGGTAGGGGCTGTTGGGAGTTTAGAAATTACTTGTAAAACATCAACTCATGGCTGTGAGAGGATTGGAAGATAGGGAAGTGGAGGGCAGGCCCTGAGCTACGCAAGGCCAAGGACTTGGCTGAGGCACTGAGGAGGAACGTGGGCAGACCACAGGCCCTGGCCCTCCTAATCACCCCGTACTCTTACAGACTGCAGCATGGGGGACCCTGGGGACCCTCAGGACTTTCTTGAGCTTCACTGTGGAAAAGGATGTACAGAGGCTGCTGAGGGCCATTACAGGTCAAGGTGAGCCCCTTTCCCTCTGCATTGGGAATCTACCTTTTAGAAGCCGATCCATAGACCAAGAAGGAGGAACTAATGAGGTTAGAGAAATGTTTGTGGAATGCCTTAATTCTTGTATGTCAAGTACCATAGTAGGTGTGTCATCCCCATCCTCACAACACCCCTGTGAGGTAAGGCTTATTATTTCCATTTTACACATGAGGAAACTGGGGCTCAGGGAGGGTAAGAGCCTTGCCCAAGGTCACACAGCTCATAATGGCAGAGCTAGGATTCTAATCTAGGTCAGCTAATCCCCCAAAATAATTTTTTTACCATCACACCAGACCCACTTTGCCTAAATTTGGGTCAGATTTGCATGCTCTTTTGGCATTTTATTTGCATCTTCTTTGAGATCAAATGGAAGTGGGGGTGATACAGCCCCTGCTCCTTTCCTTCCCAGCCCTTTCCTAGGCCTTGTTCTCTCCTCCAAGGAGTAGGGGGATCCCATTTCTACAAAGACCCTAGTTATAGCCCAGCCTAATCTTGGTTCAGGCGTGGACCATAATGCCATTGTGGCCGTGCTGACCAATCGGAGCAGAGAGCAGAGGCAGCTCATCTCTCGAGCCTTCCAGGAGCGTACCCAACAGGTGAGATCTGACTTCCCAGGAGCAGGGGACTGGGGTGATATACCCCCTGGAGAATGTGGGGTACAGCAACAGCAGCTGAGGCCAGCCTCTGCTTCCTGGCTAAACAAGGGCCTGGTGCTTCAGACCTGAGAGGAAAACCAGCCAAATCTTCCCAAACCACCCCCATGCTTCCAGGGTCCTTCCCCTCACCCCCATGCCTTTACCATTGGGACTATTTATTGTAGGACCTGCTAAAGTCTCTGCAGGCAGCACTTTCCGGCAACCTGGAGAAGATTGTCGTGGGTCTGCTGCAGCCCATGGCCCGGTTTGATGCCCAAGAATTGAGAAGAGCCTTGAAGGTACCAGGAGAGGAGACTTGCTGGGGGTCTGAGAATTGAGGACGCCACTAAGGGGAGGAGGAGGCTGACTGCCTTGTCTTTGCTTACTCCAGAGGGGTGGACTTGGCAGAGGTCCCCTCAAAATATCCCAAATTGACCCTTAGAAGAAGCGGTCAGTGTCTGCTCCTTGCCCCGCCATCTGCCACCTTAATGACATAGCCCAGTCTCAAAGTGGTCTCTCAATTTCTTATAGGCCTCAGGTTCTGCTGAAGATGTGGCCATGGAAATTCTCGCCACCCGAGCCCCACCTCAGCTACAGGAGTGCATGACTGTATATAAACATGGTAGCAATATGGAGGGAGGGGCTGGGTGTGGTGGTGGCTCACGCCTGTAATCCTAGCACTTTGGGAGGCCAAGACGGGAGGATTGCTTGAGGCTAGGAGTTCGAGACCAGCTGGAATAAGAGTGTGACCCCCATCTCTACAGAAAATAGAAAAATTAGCTGGGTGTTGTGGTGCATGCCTATAGTCCCAGCTACTCAGAAGGGTGAGGCAGGAGGGTCGCTTGAGCCCAGGAGTTTGGGTTTGCAGTGAGCTATGATAATGCCACTGCACTCTAGCCGGGGAGACAGAGAGAGACCCTGTCTCAAAAAAAAAAAAAAAAAGGAACATGGAGGGAGTGGGGTCCCAAGAGCTAGAGAGGGATCTTAGGACAAGAATAGCTGAGGCGGGCGGATTGCTCGAGGCCAGGAGTTCGAAACCAGCCCGAGCAACAGGGAGACCTCGTCTCTACTATAAATAGAAAGATATTAATTGGCCAACTAATATATAGAGAAAAAATTAGCCGGGCATGGTGGCGCATGCCTGTAGTCCCAGCTACTTGGGAGGCTGAGGCAGGAGGATCGCTTGAGCCCAGGAGTTTGAGGTTGCTGTGAGCTAGGCTGACACCACGGCACTCACTCTAGCCTGGGCAAGAAAGTGAGACTCTGTCTCAAAAAAAAAAAAAAAAAAAGAACATAGGTCAAGAGTAGACATCAAAGGAAAATTAGGCAAAGCGAGGAAAAGCAGGGAAAACACCAGTTACAAATTAGTGGGTGGTGCACACGTTGCAGCCAAGCAAGGCAGACAGCCAGGGACACGAGAGGTGACACTCCTGACTTACAGAGCAGGTTCCTACCTTACCCCAGGCTGCAGCAAGACTGAATTCTGCTTGGTATGTGGCGTGATAGCAGGGACAACAAGGGACTGGGAAGGCGACCTGGGTACCTTTGGGACTGTCACTTTGGAATCTGCCCTGGAGCTCCAGACTAGGATGGTTAATCATTGCTTCTCTTTCTTTAATGATCACATCTGCTGTCTCCTGTGGGGAGACTGAGGCACTGGCAGAGGAGGGAGGAGAGACCCCAAGGGAATAGAACTTGGGCAGCCAGGTTCCCAGATGGCTCATGTGTAGGGTGTGCAGGAGGGGAGTTGATTGTC